GCTCCTCTGTCCATGGGATTTTCCAGACAAGAAAACTAGAGTGAGTGGCCTTTTTCTCTTCCAAGGAATCGTCCTAACCCAGGGATCAAACCCACGTCTCGTGCATTGCAGGTGGATTCTTTTTTTTTAAAAGACTTATTTTGTATTAGGGTGTAGCCAGTTAACAATCTTATGATAGTTTCATGTGAACAGTGAAGGGACTCAGCCATAGGTACACATGTATCCATTCTCCTCCAAACTCCCCTCCCATCCAGGCTACCACATAACATTGAGCAGAATTCCATGTGCTATACAGTGGGTCCTTGGTGGTTATCCATGTAAAATAAAACAGAGTATACATGTCCATCCCAAACTCCCTAAGTATCTCTTTTCCCACTCCTCCTGGCAACCGTGAGTTCATCCTCTAAGTCTGTGAGTCTCTTCTGGTTTGTAAGTTCATCTGTATAATTTCTTTTTAAATTCCACATATAAGGAACGTCGTCCGATCTTCCTCCTCTGTCTGACTTCACTCACTTGTGACAATCCCTAGGTCCATCCATGTTGCTGCAGGTGGCATTATTTAATTCTTTTTAATGGCTGAGTAATATTCCATTGTATATATGTTACACATCTTATTTAACTTATATGCAGAGTACGTCATGAGAAACGCTGGGCTGGAGGAAGAACCAGCTGGAATCAAGATTGCCGGGAGAAATATCAATAACCTCAGATATGCAGATGACACCACCCTTACGGCAGAAAGTGAAGAAAAACTAAACAGCCTCTTGATGAAACTGAAAGACGAGTGTGACAAAGTTGGCTTAAAGCTCAACATTCAGAAAACTAAGATCATGGCATCCGGTCCCATCACTTCATGGCAACTTTGGGGAAACAGTGGAAACAGTGGCTGACTTTATTTTTCTGGGCTCCAAAATCACTGCAGATGGTGATTGCAGCCATGAAATTAAAAGACGCTTACTCCTTGGAAGGAAAGTTATGACCAACCTAGACAGCATATTAAAAAGCAGAGACATTACTTTGCCATAAAGGTCCGTCTAGTCAAGGCTATGGTTTTTCCAGTGGTCATGTATGGATGTGAGAGTTGGACTATAAAGAAAGCTGAGTGCTGAAAAATTGATGCTTTTGAACTGTGGTGTTGGAGAAGACTCTTGAGAGCCCCTTGGACTGCAAGGAGATCCAACCAGTCCATCCTAGAGGAGATCAGTCCTGGGTGTTTATTGGAAGGACTGATGTTGAAGTGGAAACTCCAATACTTTGGCCACCTGATGTGAAGAGCTGACTCATTGGAAAAGACCCTGATGCTGGTAAAGATTGAAGGCAGGAGGAGAAGGGGATGACAGAGGATGAGATGATTGGATGGCATCACTGACTCGATGGACATGGGTTTGGGTGGACTGCAGGAGTTGGTGATGGACAGGGAGGCCTGGCGTGCTGCGATTCATGGGGTCACAAAGAGTCAGACACAACTGAATGACTGAACTGACTAACCACATCTTCTTCATCCATTCCTCTGTCGTTGGATGTTTAGGTTGCTTCCATGTCTTGGCTATTGTAAACAGTGCTTCTGTGAACATAGGGGTACATGTACCCTTTCCGATCAGATATTTCTCCAGATATATGCCTAGGAGTGTTACTGCGGAGTCATATGGTAGCTCTATTTTTAGTTTTTTAAGGAACCTCCATACTGGTCTCCACAGTGGCTGTACCAACTTACATTCCCACCAGTAGTTTAAGAGGGTTCCCTTCTTCTCACACTCTCCAGCATTTATTGTTTGTGGATTTTTTGATCTTAGCCTTTCTGGCTGATGTGAGGTGATGTCTTTGTAGTTTTGATTTGCATTTCCGCAATAATTGGCGATGTTGAACTTCTTTTTAAGTGCCTCTTGGCCACCTGTATTTCTTTCTTTGGAGAAATGTCTGTTTAGGTCCTGTGACCATTTGTTGGTTAGTTTGTTCATTTTGATGCTGCTAAGCATCATGAACTGTTTGTAAATTTTGGAGACTCATATCCCTCATCAGTCACATCATGTGCAAATATTTTCTCCTGCCCTGTGCCTTGTCTTTTCGTTTTGTTTATTGCTTCCTTTGCTGTGCAAAAGCTTTTGAGTTTAAGTCCCACTTGTTTATTTTTGGTTTTATTTCCATTATTCTAGGAGACGGATCAAAAAAGATATTGCTGCAGTTACTGTTGGAGAGTGTTGGCAGGTGGATTCCTAACCACTGGACCACCAGGGAAGTCCAATAATATTTTCTAAATGTGTTTATTTCCCTTTTTATGATGGGTTATTTAAAAATGTATATTAGCTTTTAGGTTCTTTATTGCTTCTGCCTTACAAGAATTTCGCTTTCTTCTGTAGTCCAGTTCAGCAGCATCTCCCTGAGTCAGTGGTTTTCAGTCCGTGGCCATGCAGTGTTGGCGCGTTGTCTCCAGACGACCCTGCTGTCAGCCACATGCGGCTTCCAGGCTGGGTGTCCCTGCACCCGAAGATTAAAAGCCGTTTTTGCTCTCCTGGTAGTTTGTATTCACATCAGTATATCTACAATTTCCTTTCAGGGCTGAATGGGCTACACAATTTGATTATTGTCCATTTTTATATTGTTGGGACTGTTCTTTTATTCTCTTTGTCCTCGTTTTATTTATTCGCACTTTTAAATTAACTATTGTTATATATTTGTCAGTTCCCTTCCTTCATCCTTTTCAGACTCCCATTTCTCCTGGGAAAATGTCTAGAAACAGGTGGATCCCCAGGTCTGGCGCTCAGGAGAGAAATCCGCCCTGGAGACGAGGTTTGGGAGCTACCTGGATAGAGCGCCCCTTAGCGGGGGCTGACTCTGCCCCGGACGCTTGCAGGTCTGGAGACGGAGGCGGCGTCACAGTCGGGGGTGGCCATGGGTGCTCAGCAGCACTTGGCAGGGAAGTGCCGCCTGCAGCCCCGTGGCTGAAGCGGGGCGGCAGACGCCAAGAGTGTTCCAGGGGGTGAGGGCAGGGGGAGCCCAGCGCAGGCCAGTGGGCACCCGGGAGTTGCTGGTGATGTGGGCTCTGGCTTATATCTGCGGGGTGGGCGCATCTGTCAGGCTTGGGGACAGTAGGTGGCCTCTTTAGGGGCCTGTGAACCACAGGGCTGATGTCAGATGAGCAGGGGGCCCAGAGTGGCAGGGCCAGTGCCCCAGGGAAGCCACAGAGGAGCTGTGGGCAGCTGCGACACAGTCAAGGCTGCAGGGAGCAGTCATGAGGTAGTCGACACCGCTTGCTGAACAACTGGGAAGATGACTTTGGTGGTGGAGAGATGGAAAGTGAAAGTTGCTCAGTCCTGTCTGACTCCTGGAGACCCCATGGACTGCAGTCTATGGAATTCTCCAGGCCAAAATACTGGAGTGGGTAGCCTTTCCCTTCTCCAGGGGATCTTCCCAACCCAGGGATCAAACCCAGGTCTCCCGCATTGCAGGCAGATTCTTTACCAACTGAGCTACCAGGGAAGCCAGAGAGATGGAAGGGACCCGAATATCCTTATTTTTAAAAAATTATTTACACTTTCTATTTACATCTTTTTATTGAAGTAAAATAAGCATAATATAACACCTACCACTTTAGTCATTAAAAATGTACAATTCAGTGACTTCTAATACATAGTGTTGTTCAACCAGCAGTTCAGTTCAGTTCAGTCGCTCAGTCGTGTCCGACTCTTTGTGACCCCATGGACTGCCGAAGGCCAGGCAACCAAGTCCATCACCAACTCCCGCAGTCCACCCAAACTCATGTCCGTTGAGTCAGTGATGCCATCCTACCATCTCATCCTCTGTCATCCCCTTCTCCTCCTGCCTTCAATCTTTACCAGCATCAGAGTCTTTTCCAATGAGTCAGCTCTTCACATCAGGTGGCCAAAGTATTGGAGTTTCCACTTCAACATCAGTCCTTCCAATAAACACCCAGGACTGATCTCCTCTAGGATGGACTGGTTGGATCTCCTTGCAGTCCAAGGGGCTCTCAAGAGTCTTCTCCAACACCACAGTTCAAAAGCATCAATTTTTCAGCACTCAGCTTTCTTTATAGTCCAACTCTCACATCCATACATGACCACTGGAAAAACCATAGCCTTGACTAGACGGACCTTTATGGCAAAGTAATGTCTCTGCTTTTTAATATGCTGTCTAGGTTGGTCATAACTTTCCTTCCAAGGAGTAAGCGTCTTTTAATTTCATGGCTGCAATCACCATCTGCAGTGATTTTGGAGCCCAGAAAAATAAAGTCAGCCACTGTTTCCACTGTTTCCCCAAAGTTGCCATGAAGTGATGGGACCGGATGCCATGATCTTAGTTTTCTGAATGTTGAGCTTTAAGCCAACTTTGTCACGCTCCTCTTTCAGTTTCATCAAGAGGCTGTTTAGTTTTTCTTCACTTTCTGCCATAAGGGTGGTGTCATTTGCATATCTGAGGTTATTGATATTTCTCCCGGCAATCTTGATTCCAGCTGGTTCTTCCTCCAGCCCAGCATGTCTCATGATGTGCTCTACATATAGGTTAAATGAGCAGGGTGACAATATACAGCCTTGACGTACTCCTTTTCCTATTTGGAACCAGTCTGTTGTTCCATGTCCAGTTCTAACTGTTGCTTCCTGACCTGCATACAGGTTTCTCAAGAGGCAGGTCAGGTGGTCTGGTATTCCCATCCCTTTCAGAATTTTCCACAGTTTATTGTGATCTACACAGTCAAAGGCTTTGGCATAGTCAATAAAGCAGAAATAGATGTCTTTCTGGAACTCTCTTGCTTTTTCGATGATCCAGCGGATGTTGGCAATTTGATCTCTGGTTACTCTGCCTTTTCTAAAACCAGCTTAAACATCTGGAAGTTCACGGTTCAGCACTAATTTCAGGAAATTTTCATCACCCGGAAAAGACACCGGGAACATGTTACCAGTCTCTCATTCTGCCTCCTCCCCTGGCAACCTGTAGTCCACTCTTTGTCTCTTTGGATTTCCCTGGAAACAGTTCATAAAGCAGAGTCACGCATGGGTGGCCTTCTCTGTCTGACTTCTTTCACTTAGGGTGATGTCTTTGAGGTTCATCTCAGATACAGCTGGGATTAAATGTACCAGGATTTTATTAGGTGTTGTTACGTGATGGTAAATTGACATTATTGTCATTAGAGATAAATTGGGAAGGAGTACGAAAGGCTGGCAGACTGATGCAGCTCTAACTTCCAGCGACAAGAAAGGGACTGAGTCTGGCGGGAACTTTGTGCTCCCTGCGCTTCTAAGGCTGACTTGGTGAAGCCACTGTGGAGCTGGGACCCCCAGTCCAGGAACCAGGACCCCCCACAGGAGCTGGGATCCCCACACAGGAGCAGCGTGGGCTCTCAAGCAGTAGTCCAGTATATAGTTGTGCCTCCTGCACCTGAGGCAGCCAAGTACATGTTCAAGACAGCCACTGCTCTTTAAAACAATCATTGTGTCCTGTGTGTGTGTCTTAAGAAATGCTGGCGAGTAATTAATCAGTCATCTGAGGGAGCAAATAAACCTAAAATGAAGGAGAAGAGAGGAAACATTAGGAGCAGATATTAATGAAATAGAAAACAACCACATGATAGAGATAATCAGTGAAGCAAAAATTGGTTATTTGACAAGATTAACCAAATGGTAAACCTCAGCAAGATTGAGAGAGAGAGAGAGAGAGAGGAAGACAGACAGAATCCAAAGGTACAAGACAGACTAAAGAGATACAGTGAACAAATGTAGGCCAGTACATTTCTAGAAGAATATAACTGAATGAACACTGGCCCGGGAGGAAATAGAAAACTGAATAGTCTTAAATAGAGTCAGTAATTAAAATCACAATGAAAACATCAGGCGACTCAGTTGATTCAGCTGAACTTTCAAAATACAGATGCTTTATAGCAATGCTCCCCAGGGCTGCCATAACAATGATGCCAAAATGTAATAAAAATAGTACAAGAGAGGAATTCAGAGACATACCTGCAACAACTCAACAGATGATTAGTAAACCAGATTTCTCATGTGTGTATTCCAACTCTTTGCAACTCCATGGTCTGTAGCCCACCAGGCTCCTCTCTCCCTGGGATTTCCCAGGCAAGAATACTGGAGTGGGTTTCAATTTCCTACTCTAGGGGATCTTCCCGACCCAGGATCAAACCCATGTATCCTGCATCTCCTCCATTGGCAAGTGGATTCTTGACCACTGTACCACTTGGGAAGCCCATAACCAGATTTCAGTAGCATGTAATAATAATCAGTCCTGACCACACTTGATTAATCACAGGAGTGAAAGGTTGGTTTAACTCTATGAAGTCAGTTAGTGTAAGTCACCTACACAGGAGAAAAATTATATCCTTATCTCAATGCAGAAGAATGATTTGATAGAATTCTTCATCATGATAAAAACTACTAGATGTTAAGACTAGAGGAGAATTTCTTTTGCAGTAAGGTGGGTCTTTTTTTTTTTTTTAAAGAGCATAGCAGACCTCATAATCGTGAAAGGTTGAAATTATTTTATTTAAGTTGAGGAAAAAGACAGATGTGTACTGTCCCATTTCTGGACTTATGCACCAGCACAGGAATGTAAGGAAAAGAAGCAAAGCATATAATACTTGGAAAAGATGAAATGAAACATTTTTCAATATTATATACACATAAAATAAAGAAATCTGACAGTGAATTATTAATCAGAGAATTTAGCAATGATGCTGTGTACAGAGAACTGTTGCACAGAATGTGGGCAACAGAACATGTAACTCTAGGTGGAGCCCTTGTTTTAATGTGAAAACAGGAAATACCTGGGAATAAATCTCATAAATATACAGGATCTTCATGGAAAAAATTGTAAAACTTTATTGAAATGAACCAAAGACCACCCAAATAAATGAAGATACATATTTTGTTCATGGGCTGAAAGTCTCAGTATCACAAATGTGTAATTTGCCCCAAACTGATCTATTGATTCCATTCAACTCTTGTCAAAAGTCTACTGTGTGTATATAACTCGACAAGTTGGTTCTAACAGTTATACAGACAGGGAATTCCTTGGTGGTCCGGTGGTAGGACTTGGCACCTTCACTGCCATGGCCCCAGTTCAATCCTTTGGTCAGGGAACTAACATCACGCAAGCCATGCAACATGGCCAAATAAAAATATACAGACAAATTCTTGGGCTCCAAAATCACTGTGGTCAGTGAAATTAAAAGACACTTGCTCCTTGAAAGAAAAGCTATGACACACCAAGACAGCGTATTAAAAAGCAGAGACGTCACTTTGCCAACAAAGGCCCATATAGTCAAAGCTGTGGTTTTTCCAGTAGTCATGTATGGATGTGAGAGTAGGACCAAAAAGAAGGCTGAGTGCCGAAGAATGGATGCTTCTGAACTGTGGTGTTGGAGAAGACTCTTGAGAGTCCCTTGGACTGCAAGGAGATCCAACCAGTCCATCCTAAAGGAAATCAGTCCTGAATATTCATTGGAAGGACTGATGCTGAAGCTGAATCTCCAGTACTTTGGCCACCTGATTTAATGAGCTGACTCATTAGAAAAGACCCTGATACTGGGAAAGATTGAAGGTGGGAGGAGAAGGGTTAGCAGAGAGTGCGATAGTTAGATAGCATCACTGACTCAATGAACATGAGTTTGAGCAAACTCTGGGAAATAGTGGAGGACAGAGGAGCCTGGCATCTTGCAGTCCATGGGATCGCAAAGAGTCAGACATGACTTAGTGACTGAACAACAACATCAACAACAAATTCTTTAGTGATTAATATAGTGTAGTACTGGCCCAGAGATAGACAAATAGATCATCAGAGCAGAACTGAGAGCCCAGAAACAGATCCAAACATTTACAAAATTTTGACATGACAGAGCTGACTGAGTGGAGGAAAGGATAACTTTCAAAAACGATGTTCTGACAATTTAATTATGTAAAAAACAGTGGACTCCTGCTGCATCACATTACATTGAAAGATTATTTGCACCTGGTTTAAAATCCAAAAAGCAAAACATGCGAACTTTAGAAGATAGGAGACTATATTCTCAACATTCTAAAAGAACTGCAAGAGGATATCCTCACAATTAATGAAGAAAACATTTTCTATGATTCAAAAAGCACAGAATATGAAAGAAAGTTGAATATAGATAGATACATTATAATTAAGAACTTCTGCGCGTCAACAGCGAGAGACGACTTCCCTGGTGGCTCAGTGGTAAAGAACCCACCTGCCAGTGTAGGAGAGACTCAAGAACTACAGGCTGACCCCTGAGCCGGGATGACTGCAGACGCTGTGGGGCAGCTGAGGTCAGTGTGTGACTACAGCTGCAGGAGGAGCCGCCACAGTGACGAGTCCGTGCCCAGCAGTGAAGACCCAGCACAACGAAGAACAATCAGTTAACCCTCTTAACCATTAAAAAAATGAGTGAGTTTGCAACACACACATCTGACAAAGTTTCACACCCAGTACATACAAAGCATTTGTACAAGTAAATGGGAAGAAAATGATCCAGTTGGAAAGTGCACATGAGACTGGAACAGGCACTTTGACCAAGGGGTAGATTAAATAGGTAGTAAATACAGGAGCAGTTGCTCACTTCCTTAGTGGTCAGGGGAATGCAGATTTAAAGCCATAGTAGAAAAGTAGTGAAAGTTGCTCAGTTGTGTCCGACTCTTTGCAAACCCATGGATTGTAGCCCACCAGCCTCCTCAGTCCATGGAATTCTCCAGGCCAGAATACTGGAATGGGTAGCCTTTCCCTTCTCCAGGGGATCTTTCCAACCCAGGGGTCGAACCCGGGTCTCCTGCATTGCAGGCAGATTCTTTACCAGCGGAGCCCCAAGGGAAGCCCAAGAATACTAGAGTGGATAGCTTTTCCCTTCTCCAGGGGATCTTTCCGACCCAAGGAATTGAACCAGTGTCTCCTGCATTGCAGGCAGACTCTTTACCAACTGAGCTACCAGGGAAGCCCCCCAAATGTGATGCTTTAAATATTCAGGTTGCCAACAATATCGATCACACCAGACAGTTGGGCAAGCGAAACCAATGGGACCTGTGAGCTGCTAGGGCAGCATCAGGTACCAGGAGAACTCAGTGAGCTATTTATCAGAGCACGAAGGCAAAAGCATGTAAAACTATACAGATGCTGTGTGAGGATGCAGTAGAGGGAGAATTGAAGGAGGTGGGGACCTCTTTGGGGAGTAGGGACCCCTGGGGGCACAGAGGGGCTTTGCAGGGTCTCCTGGGTCTGTTTACTGGGCTGGTTGGTGGTTGCACAGGAATTTCCAGTATTGTTATTCCTTAAGCCTTATGCATGTTTTATAATATGCATGTACTCATTGTTCAATTTCAGAAAGTAAACATGGAACTGGGGGCTGTTAGGGAGGGTGTCAGAAATAGGGGTTGATGGTGGGCTGGAGAGGTGTACGGGGCCCTAATTCAGATGGGAGGTGCTGCCTGGTGTTTGAACAAAGGCAAAAGCATGTAAAACTGTGTGTGCTTAGTCGCTCAGTCCTGTCCGACTCTTTGCGACCCCATGGATTGTAGCCCACCAGGCTCCTCTGTCGATGGGGATTCTCCAGGCAAGAATACTGGAGTGGGTTGACAAGCCCTCCTCCAGGGGATCTTCCCAACTCAGGGATTGAACCCAGGTCTCCTGCACTGGCAGGTGGATTCTTTACCATCTGAGCCACCAGGAAAGCCTATGAATACTGGAGTGGGTAGCCTTTCCCTTCTCCAGGGGATCTTCCCGACCCGGGAATCGAGCCAGGGTCTCTGGCATTGAAGGTGGATTCTTTACCAGTTGAGATACCATGGAAGCCCACGTAAAATTACACATAGATATATGTGTGTGTGTGTATATATACACCCCCTACATACATCTGAGCCCACGTAAAATTACACATATACATATGTGTATATATATATATATACACACACCCCCCCACATACATCTGAGCCCACGTAAAATTACACATATACACATGTGTGTGTGTATATATATATATATACACCCCCTACATACATCTGAGCCCACGTAAAATTACACATATACATGTGTGTGTATATATATATACATCCCCTACATACATCTGAGCCCACGTAAAGTTACACATATACATGTGTGTGTGTATATATACACCCCCTACATACATCTGAGCCCACGTAAAGTTACACATATACATGTGTGTGTGTATATATACACCCCCTACATACATCTGAGCCCACGTAAAGTTACACATATACATATGTGTGTGTGTGTGTGTATACACCCCCACATACATCTGAGCCCATGTAAAATTACACATATACATATGTGTGTGTATATATATACACCCCTACACACATCTGAGGGGATGCAGATCAGCTGGAGGCACAGGGGTCCCTCCTTCACAGAGCCACTCTGGCCTCAGGTGCTGCTTACACTTATGGATTAAAAATTAAACGTTAATTCTGTATGG